AGATGAGTAGATTTTGAGGTGGTTTTTGGGGTGGTTTTTAGGGTGGTTTGGGGTGGTTTTTGGGGTGGCTTTTGGGGTGGTTTGGGGTCAGTTTTTGGTCGGTTTTGGGGTAGTTTTTGGGGTGGTTTTTAGGGTGGTTTGGGTCAGTTTTTGGTTGGTTTTGGGGCGGTTTTGGGGTAGATTTTGAGGTGGTTTTGGGGTGGTTTGGGGGCAGTTTTTGGTTGGTTTTGGGGTGGTTTTGGGTCAGTTTTGGGGTAGATTTTGAGGTGGTTTTGGGGGTGGTTTTTAGGGTGGGTTTGGGGGCAGTTTTTGGTTCGGTTTTGGGGTGGTTTTTAGGGTGGTTTGGGGCAGTTTTTGGTCAGTTTTTGGTTGGTTTTGGGGTGGTTTTTAGGGTGGTTTTTTAGGGTGGTTTGGGGCAGTTTTTGGTCAGTTTTTGGTCAGTTTTTGGCTGGTTTTGGGGTGGTTTTTAGGGTGGTTGGGGGTCAGTTTTTTGGTCAGTTTTTGGTTGGTTTTGGGGTCGGTTTTGGGGGTGGTTTTTAGGGTGGTTGGGGTCAGTTTTTGGTCAGTTTTTGGCTGGTTTTGGGGCTCCCAGCAGGACTTTGGGGTATCTTTGGGGTGCCCCCTTTGCAGGATCTGCTGCGGAAGGCGCTGGAGGTGGAGCTGAGGAGGAGGAGGAGGAGGAGAAGGTGGAGAGGAGGCTGAAGGTCACCGAGGAGCCGCCCTCGCAGGTGGGGACAGGTGGGGACAGCCCCACTGGGGGCTTGGGACCCCGGATTTGGGGTCTGGGTACCCAAATTTGGGGTCTGGGTGCCCAAATTTGGGGTCTGGGCCCTGGAATTTGGGGTCTGGGCCCTGGAATTTGGGGTCTGGGTGCCCAAATTTGGGGTCTGGGCCCTGGAATTTGGGGTCTGAGCTCTGGAATTTGGGGTCTGAGCTCTGGAATTTGGGGTCTGGGTGCCCAAATTTGGGGTCTGAGCTTTGGAATTTGGGGTCTGAGCTCTGGAATTTGGGGTCTGGGGTGCCCAAATTTGGGGTCTGAGCCCTGGAATTTGGGGTCTGAGCTCTGGAATTTGGGGTCTGGGCCCAGAATTTGGGGTCTGAGCTCTGGAATTTGGGATCTGAGCCCAGAATTTGGGGTCTGAGCCCTGGAATTTGGGGTCTGAGCTCTGGAATTTGGGGGCCTTGCTCTGGAATTTGGGGTCTGACCCCAGAATTTGGGGTCTGAGCCCTGGAATTTGGGGTCTGAGCTCTGGAATTTGAGGTCTGGGGTGCCCAAATTTGGGGTCTGGGCCCTGGAATTTGGGGTTTGGGCCCGGAATTTGGGGTCTGAGCTCTGGAATTTGGGGCCTTGCTCTGGTATTTGGGGTCTTGGCCCCCAAATCTGGGGTCAGAGCTGTGGAATTTGGGGTCTGGGCCCAGAATTTGGGGTCTGGCCCTGGAATTTGGGGTCTGGGCCGAGAATTTGGGGTCAGAGCTGTGGAATTTGGGATCTGGGCCCAGAATTTGGGGTCTGAGCTCTGGAATTTGGGGTCTGGCCGAGAATTTGGGGTCAGAGCTGTGGAATTTGGGGGTCTAGGCCCAGAATTTGGGGTCTGAGCTCTGGAATTTGGGGTCTGAGCTCTGGAATTTGGGGTCTGGGCCCAGAATTTGGGGTCTGAGCTCTGGAATTTGGGCTCTGGGTACCTGGATTTGGGGTCTGAGCTCTGGAATTTGGGATCTGAGCCCGGAATTTGGGGTCTGAGCTCTGGAATTTGGGGCCTTGCTCTGGTATTTGGGGTCTTGGCCCCCAAATCTGGGGTCAGAGCTGTGGGGGTTTGGGGCCTGAGCCCAGAATTTGGGGTCTGACCCCAGAATTTGGGATCTGAGCTCTGGAATTTGGGGTCTGAGCTCTGGAATTTGGGGTCTGGGCCCAGAATTTGGGGTCAGATCTGTGGGATTGGGGTCTGATCTCTGGAATTTGGGGTCCCCAGGAGGCCGTGCTGCGGGAGCAGCTGCAGGGGCTGCTGGAGGAGGAGGAGGAGGAGGAGGAAGGGCAGCAGGAGGAGGATGAAGAGCGGGAGCGGCCGCACAGACGGGAACAGCCCGGGCGGAAAACGGAGAAACAGCGGCGGAAGGAGAAGGAGCAGAGGGAGAAGGTGAGGAGTGGGAGTGGGGGTTGGGATTGGGATTTAATGGGGTTGGGATTGAGGGGAGTGGGATTGGGGTTGGGATTGGGGTCAGGATTGGGGTTGGGATTTAATGGGGTTGGGAGTGGGGTTGGGGTTGGGATTGGGATTGGGGTTGGGATTTAATGGGGTTGGGATTTGTGGGAGTGGGGTGGGGATTGGGGTCACGATTGAGGGGAGTGGGGTCAGGGTCGGCATTGGGATTGGGGTTGGGATCAGGATTGGGGTTGGGGTCAGGATCGGGGTTGGGATTGAGGTTGGGAGTGGGACAAGGGAGGGATCAGTGGGGTCAGGATGGATCCCTGATGGGTCTATGGGATCAGGGCTGGGTCTATGGGATCAGTGATGGATCAGGGCTGGGTTTATGGGATCAGTGATGGGTCTATGGGATCAGTGATGTGTTTATGGGGTCAATGATGGGTTTATGGGATCCCTGATGTGTTTATGGGATCCCTGATGCATTTATGGGGTTTCCCCAGGCTGGTGCTCGTGCCCGTGCCCGCATGGCCCTGCAGAGGCGCCAGGGGCTGTTCCAGCTCCGTTCCCTGCCCTGGGCTGGGATCAATGATGGGATCAATGATGGGTTTATGGGATCAATGATGGGTTTATGGGATCAGTGATGTGTTTATGGGATCAATGATGGGTTTGTGGGATTTCCCCCAGGCCGGTGCCCGTGCCCGTGCCCGCATGGCCCTGCAGAGGCGCCAGGGGCTGTTCCAGCTCCGTTCCCTGCTCTGGGCTGGGATCAATGATGGATCAGGGCTGGGTCTATGGGATCAATGATGTGTTTATGGGGTCAGGGGCAGGGTGGATTTATGGGGTCAATGATGGGATCAATGATGGATTTTATGGGATTTCCCCCAGGCCGGTGCCCGTGCCCGTGCCCGCATGGCCCTGCAGAGGCGCCAGGGGCTGTTCCAGCTCCGTTCCCTGCCCTGGGCTGGGATCAATGATGGGTTTATGGGATCAATGATGGGTTTATGGGATCAGGGCTGGATTTATGGGATCAGTGATATATTTATGGGATCCTGATGTGTTTATGGGATTTCCCCCAGGCTGGTGCCCGTGCCCGTGCCCGCGTGGCCCTGCAGAGGCGCCAGGGGCTGTTCCAGCTCCGTTCCCTGCCCTGGGCTGGGATCAATGATTGGATCAATGATGGGATCAATGATGGGTTTATGGGATCAGGGCTGTGTTTATAGGATCAATGATGGATTTGTGGGATTTTCCCTAGGCCGGTGCCCGTGCCCGTGCCCGTGCAGCCCTGCAGAGGCGCCAGGGGCTGTTCCAGCTCCGTTCCCTGCTCTGGGCTGGGATCAATGATGGGTTTATGGGATCAGGGCTGGGTCTATGGGATCAATGATGGGTTTATGGGGTCAGTGATGTGTTTATAGGATCAATGATGGATTTTATGGGGTTTCCCCAGGCCGGTGCCCGTGCCCGTGCCCGCATGGCCCTGCAGAGGCGCCAGGGGCTGTTCCAGCTCCGTTCCCTGCCCTGGGCTGGGATCAATGATGGGTTTATGGGATCAGGGCTGGGTCTATGGGATCAGTGATGGATCAGGGCTGGGTTTATGGGATCAGTGATGTGTTTATGGGATCAATGATGGATTTTATGGGGTTTCCCCAGGCCGGTGCCCGTGCCCGTGCCCGTGCAGCCCTGCAGAGGCGCCAGGGGCTGTTCCAGCTCCGTTCCCTGCACTGGGCTGGGATCAATGATGGGTCTATGGGATCAGGGCTGGGTTTATAGGATCAGGGCTGGGTCCATGGGATCAGGGCTGGGTTTATAGGATCAGTGATGGATTTTATGGGGTTTCCCTAGGCCGGTGCCCGTGCCCGTGCCCGCGTGGCCCTGCAGAGGCGCCAGGGGCTGTTCCAGCTCCGTTCCCTGCCCTGGGCTGGGATCAATGATGGGATCAATGATGGGTCTATGGGATCAGGGCTGGGTTTATGGGATCAGGGCTGGGTCTATGGGATCAGGGCTGTGTTTATAGGATCAATGATGGATTTTATGGGGTTTCCCCAGGCCGGTGCCCGTGCCCGTGCCCGCGTGGCCCTGCAGAGGCGCCAGGGGCTGTTCCAGCTCCGTTCCCTGCCCTGGGCTGGGATCAGGGCTGGGTTTATGGGATCAATGATGGGTCTATGGGATCAATGATGGGTTTATGGGATCAGTGATATATTTATAGGATCAATGATGGATTTTATGGGGTTTCCCCAGGCTGGTGCCCGTGCCCGTGCCCGCATGGCCCTGCAGAGGCGCCAGGGGCTGTTCCAGCTCCGTTCCCTGCCCTGGGCTGGGATCAATGATGTGTTTATGGGATCAGGGCTGGGTTTATGGGATCCCTGATGGGTTTATGGGGTTTCCCCAGGCTGGTGCCCGTGCCCGTGCCCGTGCAGCCCTGCAGAGGCGCCAGGGGCTGTTCCAGCTCCGTTCCCTGCTCTGGGCTGGGATCAGGGCTGGGTTTATGGGATCAATGATGTGTTTATGGGGTCAATGATGGGTTTATGGGATCAATGATGGATTTATAGGATCAATGATGGATTTGTGGGATTTCCCCCAGGCCGGTGCCCGGTGCCCGAGCCCGTGCAGCCCTGCAGAGGCGCCAGGGGCTGTTCCAGCTCCGTTCCCTGCCCTGGGCTGGGATCAATGATGGGATCAGGGCTGGGTCTATGGGATCAGTGATATATTTATAGGATCAATGATGGATTTATGGGATCCCTGATGTGTTTATGGGATTTCCCCCAGGCTGGTGCCCGTGCCCGTGCCCGCGTGGCCCTGCAGAGGCGCCAGGGGCTGTTCCAGCTCCGTTCCCTGCCCTGGGCTGGGATCAATGATGGGTTTATGGGATCAATGATGGGTTTATAGGATCAATGATGGGTTTATAGGATCAATGATGGATTTATAGGATCAATGATGGATTTTATGGGATTTTCCCCAGGCTGGTGCCCGTGCCCGTGCCCGTGCAGCCCTGCAGAGGCGCCAGGGGCTGTTCCAGCTCCGTTCCCTGCGGCGCCTCCTGCGGCTCCGGGACCTGGAGCTGCGGCGCCGGCGCCTCCTGAGGGAGCAGAGGCGGAAACTGCGGGGAAACGGCCCCAAAACGGCTGGGACGGCTCCGGTACGGGGGAAATGGGGGAAAATGGGGGGAAAATGGGGGGAAATGGGGATAAATGGGGGGGAATGGGGGAGAAATAGGGGGAAATGGGGGAAAAAATGGGGGAAAATGGGGAGAAAATGGGGGGGAATGGGGGAAAAATGGGGGGGAATGGGGGGGAAATGGGGAAAATGGGGGAGAATGGGGGGAAAATAGGGAAAATGGGGGAAATGGGGGAAAAATGGGGGAGAATGGGGGGAAAATGGGGGAAAAATGGGGGGAAAATGGGGATAGATGGGGGGAAATGGGGGAGAATGGGGAAAAATGGGGAGAAATGGGGAAAAATGGGGGGAAACGGGGGAGAATGGGGGGAAATGGGGGAGAATGGGGGGAAATGGGGAAAAATGGGGGGGAAATGGGGGAGAATGGGGAGAAATGGGGGAGAATGGGGGAAAATGGGGGGAAACGGGGATAAATGGGGGAAAAATGGGGACAAGTGGGGGGAATGGGGGAAAATGGGGGAGAAGGGGGAAAATGGGGGGAAAATGGGGAAAATGGGGGGAAATGGGGGAGAATGGGGGAAAATGGGGGGGAAAATGGGGGGAAAAATGGGGATAGATGGGGGAAATGGGGAAAAATGGGGGGAAATGGGGAGAATGGAGAAAAATGGGGGAGAATGGGGGAAATGGGAAATGGGGGAAAAATGGGGGGGAATGGGGAAAAATGGGGGGGGAATGGGGAAAAATGGGGGGAAATGGGAGAGAAATGGGGATAAATGGGGAAAATAGGGGGGGAAATGGGGGAAAACGGGGGGAAATGGGGGAGAATGGGGGGAAATGGGGAAAATGGTGGAGAATGGGGGGAAATGGGGGTAAAAATGGGGTTTGGGGTGGGGTTTGGGGGACAAAAGGGAATTGGGATGGGGAAAAGGGGGTTTGAGGTGGGGAAAATGGGGATTGAGGGGGGAAATGGGGTTTGGGGAAGGAAAATGGGGGTTTGGGGAGGTTAAAATGGGGATTTGGGGTGGGAAATGGGGGTTTGGGGGTTTAGAGGGGGGAAATGGGGATTTGGGGATGAGAAATAGGGGGCAGGATTTGGGGTGATCCCCTCCCCCTTTCTGAGGCTGAAACCCCCAATTTTGGTCCCTGTGGGATTTTGGGGTGATCCCCTCCCCCTTTTTGAGGCTAAAACCCCCAATTTTGGGCCTTTGCAGCTACGAGGAGCCCGAGCTTGAGGTGCAGCTGAGCGAGGAAATCCCAGAGTCCCTGAGGAGCCTCCGGGTGGGTTTGGGAGAAAAAATCCCATTTTTAGTTAAAAAAATATCCCATTTATTGGGGAAAAATATCCCATTTATTGGGGAAAAATCCCCATTTCTGGGGGGAAAAACTTAAATTTTTTGGGGGAAAAAACTCCCATTTTGGGAGGGAAAAATCTCCATTTTTGGGGGAGAAAATCTCCATTATTTGGAGGAAAAATCTCCATTTTTTTGAGGGACAAAATCCTTATTTTTGGGGTGAAAATCCCCATTTTTAGGGAGATAAATCCCATTTTTGTGGGAAAAAAATCTCAATTTTGGGGGGGAAAAATCAGCATTTTGGAGGGAAAAAAATTCTTATTTTTGAGGGGAAACGCCCTTTTTTTGGGGCGGAAAAATTTTGATTTTTTGGGCGGAAAACCCCAATTTTTGGGGAAAAATCTCCATTTTTTTGGGGAGAAAAATCCCAATTTTTGTGGGAAAAAATCTCAATTTTTTGGGGAAAAATCTCAATTTTTTGGGGGAAAAATCCCAATTTTTTTTGAGGAAAAAAATCCTTATTTTTGGGTTGAAAAATCTCCATTTTTGGGGAGAAAAATCCCATTTTTGTGGGAAAAAAATCTAATTTTTTTGTGAAAAATCCCCATTTTTTTGTGAAAAATCCCAATTTTTTTTGTGAAAAATCCCCATTATTTTTTTTTAAATCCCATTTTTTTGGGGGGATCCCTGTTTGTTCCCCATCCCTGTTCTGGGGTGCAGCAGCCGGTGACGAGAGCCATCCTTGCGCTGGGAGAGTTCCCAGGTTGGGAATTCTGTGAAGGCTTCGGGCTCTGGGGCTTTGTCACGGGGACGAGGCCCCAGCCAGGCTGAGGCTGCTGCGACCAAACCTGGGCCCAAACACCCCAAAGTGGTGGGAAATGGAAATGGGAAAGGAAAATGGGAAAGGAAAATGGGAAATGAAAATGGGAAAGGAAAATGGGAAAGGAAAATGGGAAATGGAAATGGGAAAGGAAAATGGGAAAGGAAAATGGGAAATGGAAATGGGAAATGAAAATGGGAAATGAAAATGGGAAATGGAAATGGGAAATGAAAATGGGAAATGGAAATGGGAAATGGAAATGGGAAATGGAAATGGGAAAGGAAAATGGGAAAGGAAAATGGGAAATGGAACCAAAAAATGAAAATGGGAAAGGAAATGGGAAATGAAAATGGGAAAGGAAAATGGGAAAGGAAAATGGGAAGTGGAAATAGGAAAGGAAAATGGGAAATGAAAATGGGAAATGGAAATGGGAAAGGAAAATGGGAAATGGAAATGGGAAATGAAAATGGGAAATGGAAATGGGAAATGGAAATGGGAAATGGAAATGGGAAAGGAAAATGGGAAATGGAAATGGGAAAGGAAAATGGGAAATGAAAATGGGAAATGAAAATGGGAAATGAAAATGGGAAATGAAAATGGGAAATGGAACCAAAAAATGAAAATGAGAAATGAAAATGGGAAATGAAAATGGGAAATGGAAATGGGAAATGAAAATGGGCAATGAAAATGGGAAATGGAACCAAAAAATGAAACCAAAAAATGAAAATGGGAAATGAAAATGGGAAATGGAAATGGGAAATGAAAATGGGAAATGAAAATGGGAAATGGAAATGGGAAATGAAAATGGGAAATGGAACCAAAAAATGAAAATGGGAAATGAAACCAAAAAATGAAAATGAGAAATTAAAATGGGAAATGAGAATGGGAAATGAAAATGGGAAATGGAACCAAGAAATGAAAATGGGCAATGAAAATGAGCAATGGAACCAGATCTGGGCTTTCTGACTCCACAGCCCCAGGGGAACCTGCTCAGGGATCGCTTCAGGAGCCTCCAGAGGAGAAACGTCCTGGAGCCACGGCTCAGGGCCAAGTGAGTGATGAGGATGGGGGAAAAAACACAAAATGGGGACAGGAAAAATGAAATTTGGGCCAAGTGAGTGACTGAGGATGGGGGAAAAACAAATGGGAGGGGAAAAACCAAAATGGGGAGGGGAAAAATGAAATGGGGATGGGAACAATGAAATGGGGACAGAAACAATGGAATTTGGGCCAAGTGAGTGACTGAGGATGGGGGAAAAACACAAATGGGGACAGGGAAAATGAAATGGGGACAGGAAAAATGAAATGGGGATGGGAAAAATGAAATGGGGACAGAAACAATGGAATTTGGGCCAAGTGAGTCACTGAGGATGGGGGAAACACAAATGGGGAGGGGAAAAAACCAAAATGGGGATGGGAAAAATGAAATGGGGACAGGAAAAACAAAATGGGGAGAGGAGAACACAAAATGGGGACAGGAAAAATGGAATTTGGGCCAAGTGAGTGATGAGGATGGGGAAACACAAAATGGGGAGAGGAAAAACCAAAATGGCAACTGAAAAAATGAAATGGGGATGGGAAAAACCAAAATGGGGACAGGAAACACAAAATGGGGAGGGGAAAACACAAAATGGGGATGGGAAAAAACCAAAATGGCAACTGAAAAAATGAAATGGGGATGGAAAAAGTGAAATGGGGACAGGAAAACACAAAATGAGGAGAGGAAAACACAAAATGGGGATGGGGAAAAAACCAAATATTTACTCAGGAACAATGAAATTTGGGTGAAGGGAGTGACTGAGAATGGGGGAAACCAAAATGGGGATGGGAAAACACAAAATGGGGAGAGGAAAAACCCCAGAATTAAGGAGAAAAATCCCAAAATTTATGGAAAGAAAAAGTCAAAATTTATGAGAAAAATCCCGAAATTCATGGAAAACCAAATTTTTGTGTTTCTGACCCAAATTTTTGTGTTTCTGACCCATTTTTTTTGTTTTTGCCCAGGTTCAAGCGGCGCTACCGGGTGAAATACGTGGAGAAAAGATCCTTCAGGGCTGTGACGTGAGTGGGGGGACCCCAAAACTGCAACCCCAAATTGGGGACCCCAAAACTGGAACCCCAGATTGGGGACCTTAAATTGAGACCCTGAAATTGGGAACCCTGAAACTGGGGACCTTAAATTGGGAATCCAAAATTTGGAACCCTGAAACTGGGGACCCTGAAATTGGGAACCCCAAAATTTGGGACCCTCTGATCCCCCCTGATCCTTCAGTGCTGTGATGTGAGTCTGGGGGGACCCCGAAATTTGGGACCCCAAAATTGGGAACCCCAAAATTGAGGACCCTGAAATTGGGGACCTTAAATTGGGAACCCTAAATTGGGGATCCTAAATTGGGAATTCTGAAATTTGGGGACCCCGAACTGGGGACCCTCTGAGCCCCCCTGATCCTTCAGGGCTGTGACTGAGTCTGGGGGGACCCCGAAATTTGGGACCCCAAAACTGGGGACCCTGAAATTTGGGGACCCCGAAATTGGGAACCCGAAATTTGGGGACCCCCCTGACGCCCCCTCCCCCATTTCTGTTGCAGGCTCTGACCCCGGGACCCCCCCCCAAAATAAACCCTTGGAGCAACCTCGAGGCTGGGGGGGCTTCTTTGGGGTCTGGGACCATTTTGGGGGGTCTGGGACCATTTTGGGGGGATCTGGACTCATTTTGGGGGGTTTGGGACAATTTTGGGGGGCTTTGAACCCATTTTGGGCCATTCTGACCCCAATTTTGGGGGGTCTGAGCCCATTCTGGGGGGGCTTTTTTGGGAGTTTGGGGGGCCTGGGACAAATTTTGGAGGCTTTGACCTCATTTGGGGGGGGCTGAGCCCATTTTGGGGGGGCTGAGCCCATTTTGGGGTCTCTAAACCCATTTTGGGGGGGCTGAGCTCATTTTGGGAGCTCTGGGACGATTTTGGGGGGGTCTGAGGCCATTTTGGGGGGGCTTTTTTGGGAATTTGGGAGGTCTGGGACCATTTTGGAGGATCTGACCCCAATTTTGGGGGTTCTGACCCAAATTTTGGGGTCTCTGTGCCCTTTTGGGGGGGTCTGAGCTCATTCTGGGGGGTCTGACCCCATTTTGGGGGTTCTGGGCTCATTTTTGGGGGATTCTGAACCCATTTTGGGGGATTCTGAGCCAAATTTTGGGGGATTCTGAGCCAAATTTTGGGGGTTCCGAGCCCCCCTTTCCCCCAGGGACACCCCCAAATGCACTCAGGGTCTTTCACCCCTTTATTGAGATTTTGGGGGGGCTCTGCCCCCCCCAGCACCTCTGAGCCCCCTCCCCAAAAATCGACATTGCCCTCAAATCAATGCAAATTTCCATCAATGCACCCCAAAAAATGGAAAGCTCCAAATGAAACAGCAAAGGTCTAAAAATGAACTGAAACCTGCCTAAAATTCATGGAAATTTCCCCCAAATTAATACAAACTTCTATGAATAAATATAAATTTCCCTAAAATAAATACAAACCCCCCCCTTTAAATAAATACACCCTAAAATAAATAAAAACCTCCCTAAAATTATTACAAATGTCACTAAAATAAATACAAATACCCCAAAATAAATAAAAATTGTCCTAAATAAATACAAATGTCACTAAAATAAATACAAATACCCCAAAATAAATAAAAATCTTCCTAAATAAATACAAATGTCACTAAAATAAATACAAATACATCAAAATAAATTCAAATTATCCCAGCCCCGTGTGCACCTGAAGGGCCAAAATGAAATCAGGGGAATAAAACCAGGAGGGGAAAAGCAGCAGCAGCTTTAGGGGTGAAACCCTGAAATTTGGAGATTTTGGGGGGATCTGAGCATTTTAGGGCTGAATTCCCAAAGGATTTGGGGAAAATTTTCAGGTTTTTTGGGCCCAAACTTCTCCCTGATGATTTGGGTACAAAGTCCTGGATTTTGGGGAGGAATTTTGGTGGTTTTGGGAGCAGAACCCACAAAGGTTTGGGGGCACAAGTTCTGTCCCAAAGCTCAAGAGTTTGGGGCTGAAATTTTGGGGGTTTTTGGGGACAAACCCTGGAAATTTGGGGGTGAAATCGCAGCAGTTTTGGGGATGAAACCCCCACAGTTTTGGGGAAAAACCTCAGAGATTTGGGGCTGAAATCCCAGGAGATTTGGGGACAAACCCCAGAGATTTGGGGGTAAATCCTGGGGGTTTTGGGGACAAACCCTGGAAATTTGGAGGTGAAATCCCCACAGATTTGGGGACAAACCCTGGGGTTTTGGGGCTGAAATCTCCACAGTTTTGGGGATGAAATCCCCACAGTTTTGGGTTCCAACCCCAACAGTTTTGGGAACAAACCCTGGAAATTTGGGGCTGAAATCCCAGGAGATTTGGGGGACAAACCCCAGAGATTTGGGGGTGAAATCCCCACAGTTTTTGGGGTGAAATCCCCACAGTTTTGGGGTCTGAAACCCCAACAGTTCAGGGCTGATCCCTGCTCCTTTGCAGTCCCAATTCCTGGTGATTTTGGTTCCAATCTTGGTGATTTTGGTTCCAGTCCTGGTGATTTTGGTTCCAGTTCTGGTGATTTTGGCTCCAATTCCCGGCAATTTTGGCGGCTCCGAGCTCCGGCGATTCAGGGGTGAAATCCCAGCAGTCGTGGCCCCAAACCCCAACATTTTGGGACGAAACCCCAACATTTTGGGGTGAAATCCCAACAGTTTGGGGTGAAACCCCAACAGTTTGGGGTGAAATCCCAACAGTTTGGGGTGAAACCCCAACAGTTTGGGGTGAAATCCCAGCAGTTTGGGGTGAAATCCCAACACTTTGAGGCTTCAAATCCCAGCGATTTTGGGATGAAATCCCCGTCTTTGGCTCCAGTTCCCATTTTGGGACTGACATTGGGACCTTGGGGGCTCCAGTCCCCACCAGTTTGGGATCAAAACTCTCCCAGTTCTGGCTCCAATCCAAGGCTGAACTCCTGCCCAGTTCCTCCCCTGACCCCAATCCCGTCCTGTCCATCCCAGTCCAATCCCAATCCAATCCCATTCTGTTTCCTGACCCCAATTCCAGTCCTGTCCGCCCCAATCCCGTCCTGTCCATCCCAGTCCCATCCTAACCCAAATCCCACCCCAGTCTTGGTCCTTTCCTGACCCCAGTCCCATCCTGACCCCAATCCTGACCCCAAACCCCAATCCCAAACCCCAAACCCATCACACGTAGGCCGATTCACTGCTCTGTGTCCTGCCCAGCCCCAGCTCTGATCCTGTCCATCCCAGTCCCAATCCTGACCCCAAATCCCATCCCAATCCCATCACACGTAGGCCGATTCACTGCTCTGATCCTGTCCATCCCAATCCCAATCCTGACCCCAATCCCAAACCCCAATCCCATCACACGTAGGCCGATTTGCTGCTCTGCGTCCTGCCCAGCCCCAGCTCTGACCCTGTCCATCCCAATCCCATCCAATCCCATCCCAATCCCATCCAATCCAATCCCAATCCCAATCCCATCACACGTAGGCCGATTCGCTGCTCTGATCCTGTCCATCCCAATCCCAATCCTGACCCCAATCCCAATCCCCAATCCCATCACACGTAGGCCGATTCGCTGCTCTGTGTCCTGCCCAGCCCCAGCTCTGACCCTGTCCATCCCAGTCCCAATCCTGACCCCAAATCCCATCCCAATCCCATCACACGTAGGCCGATTCACTGCTCTGATCCTGTCCATCCCAATCCCATCCCAATCCCAAACCCCAATCCCATCACACGTAGGCCGATTCGCTGCTCTGCGTCCTGCCCATCCCAATCCTGACCCCAATCCCATCCCAATCCCAATCCTGACCCCAATCCCAATCCCAATCCCATCACACGTAGGCTGATTCGCTGCTCTGCGTCCTGCCCAGCGCCGGCACTGTTCCCATCCATCCCAATCCCAATCCTGACCCCAATCCCATCCAATCCCCAATCCCAATCCCATCACACGTAGGCCGATCGCTGCTCTGTGTCCTGCCCATCCCAATCCCATCCAATCCCCAATCCCAATCCCATCACACGTAGGCCGATTCGCTGCTCTGCGTCCTGCCCATCCCAATCCCAATCCCAATCCCAAACCCCAATCCCAATCCCATCACACGTAGGCCGATTCGCTGCTCTGATCCTGCCCATCCCACTCCCAATCCTGCCCCCAATCCCATCCCAAATCCCCAATCCCATCACACGTAGGCCGATTCGCTGCTCTGCGTCCTGCCCATCCCAATCCCATTCCAATCCCATCCCAATCCCATCCAATCCCAATCCCATCCAATCCCAATCCCATCCCAATCCCAATCCCAATCCCATCACACGTAGGCCGATTCGCTGCTCTGCGTCCTGCCCAGCCCCAGCTCTGACCCTGTCCATCCCAATCCCATTCAATCCCATCCCAATCCCATCCAATCCAATCCCAATCCCAATCCCATCACACGTAGGCCGATTCGCTGCTCTGCGTCCTGCCCATCCCAATCCCATTCCAATCCCATCCCAATCCCAATCCTGACCCCATTCCCATCCTAACCCCAATCCCATCACACGTAGGCCGATTCGCTGCTCTGTGTCCTGCCCAGCCCCAGCTCTGACTCTGTCCATCCCATCCCAGTCCCAATCCTGACCCCAAATCCCATCCCAATCCCAAACCCCAATCCCAATCCCAATCCCATCACACGTAGGCCGATTCACTGCTCTGTGTCCTGCCCAGCGCCGGCACCGTCCCCGCCGTCCCCGTCGCTGTCCCCGTCCCCGTCGCTGTCGCCGTCGCCGCCTCCTTGCGCCGCGCGTCCCCCAGGCTCTTGCGGCGCGCGCGGGGCCCCGCGGACGGCGGCGCGCACCTTGCGCCAGCCCAGGTGGTTGAGCTCGGCCAGGTTGAGCAGCACGCAGACCCCGGACACGGCGAACATGAAGACCAGGAAGACGCTTTTCTCCGTGGGCCGCGAGACGTAGCACTCGACCTCCTTGACGCACGGGTAGCGGTCGCACTCGAAGATGGCCGGGACGTTGAAGCCGTACAGGAAATACTGCCCGCCCAGGAAGCCGATCTCCAGAGCGTTCCTGAACACAACCTGGGCACAAAGGGACAGGTGAGGGACAGTGAGAGGGGCTGGAACCTTCCTGAACACAACCTGGGCAAAAAGGGACAGGTGAGGGACAGGTGAGACAGTGAGAGATCTCCAGAGCATTCCTGAACACAACCTGGGGGTGAGAGAGACAGGTGAGGGACAGGTGAGACAGTGAGAGATCTCCAGAGCGTTCCTGAACACCACCTGGGCAAAAAGGGACAGTGAGAGATCTCCAGAGCGTTCCTGAACACCACCTGGGGATGGGAGAGACAGGTGAGGGACAGGTGAGACAGTGAGAGATCTCCAGAACGTTCCTGAACACAACCTGGGCAAAAAGGGACAGGTGAGGGACAGGTGGGACAGCTGAGAGATCTCCAGAGCGTTCCTGAACACAACCTGGGCAAAAAGGGACAGGTGAGGGACAGGTGAGACAGTGAGAGATCTCCAGAGCGTTCCTGAACACAACCTGGGCACAAAGGGACAGTGAGAGATCTCCAGAGCGTTCCTGAACACAACCTGGGCATGGGGGAGAGACAGGTGAGGGACAGGTGAGACAGTGAGAGATCTCCAGAGCGTTCCTGAACACCACCTGGACAGGAGAGGGACAGTGAGAGGGGCTGGAACCTTCCTGAACACAACCTGGGCAAAAAGGGACAGTGAGAGATCTCCAGAGCGTTCCTGAACACAACCTGGGCAAAAAGGGACAGTGAGAGATCTCCAGAGCGTTCCTGAACACAACCTGGGCACAAAGGGACAGGTGAGGGACAGGTGAGACAGTGAGAGATCTCCAGAGCGTTCCTGAACACCACCTGGGGGTGAGAGAGACAGGTGAGGGACAGGTGAGACAGTGAGAGATCTCCAGAGCGTTCCTGAACACAACCTGGGCATGGGAGAGACAGGTGAGGGACAGTGAGAGGGGCTGGAACCTTCCTGAACACAACCTGGGCACAGAGAGGGACAGGTAAGAGATCTCCAGAGTGTTCCTGAACACCACCTGGACATAGGGACAGTGAGAGGGGCTGGAACCTTCCTGAACACCACCTGGGCATGGGAGAGACAGTGAGAGATCTCCAGAGTGTTCCTGAACACCACCTGGGCACAAAAAGGTCACAAAATGGACCCAAAAAGAACCCAGAATGGTCACAGAAAGGTGACAAATGAGACACAAGGATGGGCACCTCTGTGCACCCACCTGGATGGCGCAGAGCCTGGCAATGCCCTCCTGCCCTTGCACCCTGGCGCTGCCTTGCAGCTGCACCGGTGCCATTGGGCGTTTTTACACCTCCATTTTTCATTATTTATATTTTCCCTCTATTTTACATTATTTTTCACCCCGTTTCCACTCTCTGCACCCACCTGGATGGCGCAGAGCCTGGAGATGCCCTCCTGCCCTTTCACCCTGGCGCTGCCTTGCAGCTGCACCGGCGCCATTGGGCGTTTTTTGCCCCTCCATTTTTCATTATTTATATTTTCCCTCTATTTTACATTATTTTTCACCCCATTTAACCCCATTTCAGCTCTATGCACGCACCTGGATGACGTAGAACCTGGAGATGCCCTCCTGCCGCTTCACCTGGGCGCTGCCTTGCAGCTGCACCGGCGCCATTGGGTGTTCTTATACCTCCATTTTTCATTATTTATATTTTCCCTCTATTTCACATTATTTTTCACCCCGTTTCCACTCTCTGTACCCACCTGGATGACGTAGAACCTGGAGATGCCCTCCTGCCGCTTCACCTTGGAGCTCCGCGCCTGCGGCCGCCCCAGCCCCAGCTCGGGCTCCTCCCTGGGCGCCCCCTCGGCGGCCGGGCCCCCGTTGGGCCGGGGCCGGCGCGGCTCCAGCAGCGGCTGCAGGAAGGAGCAGCGGCGCTCGCGCTGTTTGGCCGCCTGGTGCACGGAGTAGGTGATGAAGCACAGGCTGGGCGTGCACACCAGGATGATCTGGAACACCTGGGGCAGAGAAAAGGGAATTGTCCAGGGTAGGAATCCAGGAAGGAGCAGCGGCGCTCGCGCTGTTTGGCCGCCTGGTGAACGGAGTAGGTGATGAAGCACAGGCTGGGCGTGCACACCAGGATGATCTGGAACACCTGGGGCACAGAGAAAAGGGAATTGTCCAGGGTAGGAATCCATGGGCAGCATCACCTGGGAGCTCCTTCTGATAAACAGGAACCGGCGGCAAACGCCGGGCCAAAGTCGTGAAAATGGGTACGTGGAATGTTGGGTACGTGGAATTTTGGTGTGTGAAATTTTGGGTACGTGGAATTTTGGTGTGTGAAATTTTGGGTATGTGGAATTTTGGATATGTGAAATTTTGGTATGTGAAATTTTGGGTATGTGGAATTTTGGGTACGTGGAATTTTGGGTACGTGGAATTTTGGGTATGTGGAATTTTGGAATGTGGAATTTTGAAATGTGAAATTGTATGCATGTGGATTTGAGAGGGGGATAAAAAGGGACCCGAAGTTCCCAGGAAAATAAAAAGGGACCTGAAATTCCCAGAAAGATAAAGAGGGACCTGAAGTTCCCAGAAGGATAAAAAGGGACCTGAAGTTCCCAATTCCCACGTGCATTTTAGAGGAACCATTCCCACGTGCATCCAGCACTGTAATAAATTTTTTTTTTATGACTTTTGATGTTTGGTTTTGGGTTTTGGTTTTTGGTTTTGGGTTTTGGTTTTTGGTTTTGGGTTTTGGTTTTGGGTTTTGATTTTTGGTTTTGGGTTTTGGGTTTTGGTTTTGGGTTTTGATTTTTGGTTTTGGGTTTTGGTTTTGGGTTTTGGGTTTGGGTCCCCCCAGACGCACCCAGTAGCGGATGTGGGAGATGGGGAAGGCTTTGTCGTAGCAGGCCTGGTTGCAGCCTGGCTGCAGCGTGTTGCACATGAACATGGTCTGCTCGTCCTCGTAGACCGTCTCACCCACGATGGCCACGATCAGGATCCGGAAAATGACCACGACCGTCAGCAGGATCCTGGGCAGGGACACAGGGACAGGGAAATGAGCATCACAGTCAGCAGGATCCTGGGCAGGGACACAGGGACAGGGAATGGACACAGGGAATGGTCAGCAGGATCCTGGGCAGGGACACAGGGAATGGTCAGCAGGGACAGGGAATGGACACAGGGACAGGGAAATGAGCACCATGGTCAGCAGGGTCCTGGGCATGGACACAGGGAATGGTCAGCAGGGACACGGAATGGACACAGGGACAGGAAAATGACCACGACTGTCAGCAGGGTCCTGGGGATGGACACAGGGAATGACCACCGTGGTCAGCAGGATCCAGGGGGCAAGGACAGGTGAGGTGGGGAGGGGTCTGCACCTGTGGTGACACCAGGGGGACTGGGGATGGCACCTGAGGGGATTGGGGATGGCACTGGGGTGACACCTGTGGTGACACCTGGGGGACTGGGGATGGCGCCTGGGGCTGGGGGTCCCACCTGGCCCTGGACCCCCCCCCCAGCCTGGCTCCCCCGGCCACCCCGGGTGTCACCTGGGCTCCCCCGGCCACCCCTGGTGTCCCCTGGGCTCCCCTGGGCTCCCCTGGTGTCCCCTGGGCTCCCCTGGTGTCACCTGGCCTCACCTGGGCTCCCCTGGTGTCACCTGGCCTCCCCTGGGCTCACGTGGGCTCCCCTGGTGTCCCCTGGGCTCCCCTGGGCTCCCCCGGGCTCCCCTGGTGTCCCCTGGGCTCCCCTGGGCTCCCCTGGGCTCACCTGGGCTCCCCTGGTGTCCCCTGGGCTCCCCTGGTGTCCCCTGGGCTCACCTGGGCTCACCTGGGCTCCCCTGGGCTCACCTGGGCTCCCCTGGGCTCACCTGGCACCACCACGTGGCTGCCCTGGTGCTTCCTGCAGGGACCGTGGGCGGCCCTGAGCCACCCGGGTCACACCCGGGTCACACCCGGGTCACACCCGGGTCACACCCGGGTCACACCTGTCCCCCCCCCCCCAATCCCACCCAGGTGCCCTGCGGGGGTGGGGACACCTTTGGGGACACGTGGGGACCTTGTCCTCCCTTCCCCCCCGCGGGAGGGGCCCCCCCGGGCTGTCCCAGTGTCACCGGTGCCACACCAGAGCCACACCAGAGCCTCACCAGAGCCACACCAGAGCCACACCAGTGTCACCAGAGCCACACCAGAGCCACACCAGAGTCACCGGTGCCACCAGAGCCACCAGTGCCACACCAGAGCCACACCAGAGCCACCGGTGTCACCAGAGCCACACCAGAGCCACACCAGTGTCACCAGTGTCACCGGTGCCACACCAGAGCCACACCAGAGCCACCAGTGCCACCAGAGCCACACCAGAGCCACACCAGTGTCACCAGTGTGACCAGAGCCACACCAGAGCCACACCAGTGTCACCAGTGCCACCAGAGCCACACCAGAGCCACACCAGTGTGACCAGAGCCACACCAGTGTCACCTGCTGCCCGAGGGGAGGTGACAGCGGGGAGGGGACAGCGGGGAGGGGACAGCGGGGAGGGGACAGCGGCGGGGGGAGGTCCCGGGGGGGGTTGGGAGGGGATTTTTGGGGCTGGGGGGAATTTGGGGGTGCCGGGGGTGGATTTAGGGGGTCCCAGGGTGGATCTGGGGGGATTTGGGGTGGATTTGAGGTGGATTTAGGGGGTCCCGGGGGGATTTGAGGTGGGATTTGGGATCCGGGGGTGGATCTGGGGGGATTCGGGGTGGATTTAGGACCCCAGGATGGGTTTGGGGTGGGATTTGGGGTCCCGGGGATGGATTTGGGGTCCAGGGGATGCATTTGGGGTGGATCCGGGGGTCCAGGGGTGGATTTGGGGTGGATCCGGGGGTCCCGGGTGTGGGTTTGAGATCCCGGGGATGGATTCAGGGTCCCGGGGACGGATTTGGGGTGGATCCGGGGATGCCGGGGTGGATTCAGGGGGTCCCAGGATGGATCTGGGGTCTCGGGGGGGCCCAGGGATGGGTTTAGGGCCGGATTTGGGGTCCGGGGGTGCACTGAGGGCGGCACGCGGGGCTCTCTGACCTGCCGATCATGGTGGAGTGCTGCTGCACCGCCGCCTCCAGCAGCCGCTCCAGGATGGTCCATTCGCCCATGGCTCCGGCCCGGGGGGCACCGGGACCCCCCGAGACCCCCGGGACCCCCGGGACCCCCCCGGGACCCCCCGGGACCCCCCCGGGACCCCCCCGGGACCCCCGGCTCAGCTGCGGCGCCCCCCGCGCCCCCCCCGCCCCCCGGGATCGGGCGGATCCAGCGGAACCCCGGGATCCATCCGAGCGCTGGGGGAGGGGAGGGGCGGGACTGGAGGGACTGGGAGGGACTGGGAGCACTGGGGACACTGGGGGAGGGACTGGGAGGGACTGGGAGGGGATTGGGAGGGGATTGGGGTAAACTGGGAGGGACTGGGAGGGACTGGGAGGGACTGGGAGGGGATTGGGGTAAACTGGGAGGGACTGGGAGGGACTGGGAGGGACTGGGAGGGGATTGGGGTAAACTGGGAGGGACTGGGAGGGACTGGGAGGGGATTGGGGTAAACTGGGAGGGACTGGGGGTGGGACTGGGAGAACCGGGGGTGGGACTTGGGGGGGGTACTGGGAGGGACTGGGCACTGGTTTTACTGCTCTCTGTGGTGGTCCCGTACTGGTTTCACTGGCCCCGTACTGGTTTCACTGGTCCCGCACTGGTTTCACTGGTCCCGTACTGGTTTCGGTGGTCCCGTACTGGTTTCACTGGTCCTTTACTGGTTTCCCTGGTCCCGTACTGGTTTCCCTGGTCCCGTACTGGTTTCACTGGCCCCGTACTGGTTTCACTGGTCCTTTATTGGTTTCACTGGTCCCGTACTGGTTTCACTGGTCCCGTACTGGTTTCCCTGGTCCTTTACTGGTTTCACTGGTCCCGTACTGGTTTCCCTGGTCCTTTACTGGTTTCACTGGTCCCGTACTGGTTTCACTGGTCCTTTATTGGTTTCACTGGTCCCGTACTGGTTTCACTGGTCCTTTACTGGTTTCACTGGTCCCGTACTGGTTTCCCTGGTCCTTTACTGGTTTCACTGGTCCCGTACTGGTTTTCCTGGTCCCGTACTGGTTTCACTGGTCCCGTACTGGTTTCCCTGGTCCTTTACTGGTTTCACTGGTCCCGTACTGGTTTCACTGGTCCCGCACTGGTTTCACTGGTCCTTTATTGGTTTCCCTGGTCCTTTACTGGTTTCACTGGTCCTTTATTGGTTTCCCTGGTCCTTTACTGGTTTCACTGGTCCCGTACTGGTTTCGCTGGCCCCGCCCCTCCCGCGCATGCGCAGTTGCCGCCATGGCGCCGCTCCGAGTCCATGTCCTTTACTGGTACCGGGGGGCCCAAACTGGGGGGTCCCCAATTCCGGGGGGGGTCCCCAATTCTGGGGAGGGGTCCCCAATTCCGGGGGGGGTCCCAATTCTGGGGAGGGGTTCCCAGTTCTGGGGGGGAGGTCCCTGATCCCCGGGGGGGCCCAAATTCTGGGGGGTGGGTGTCGCTAATCCTGGGGGTGTGTCCCTAATTCTGGGCTTGTTCCCAGTTCGGGGGGTCCCTAATTCTGGGAGGGGTCCCCAATTCCGGGTGAGGGTCCCCAATTCCGGGTGAGGGTCCCCAATCCCAAAATGGGTTGGGGGGTCCCATTTTTATCGCCCCCTCTCTGCCCATCCCCCAGCGGAGCCTGAGGCTACAAACCCAAGGTGAGCCCCTCCCCCACCCCTTTTGTGACCGCCCCCTCCCCAAAATCCGGGGGGGGAGACCCCAAAATATGCAGGGGGAGCCCCCTCCCCACTGGAGCCCCCTCCCCAATTGCAGTTTGTGAAACTGAAGCAGGAACTGGAGCGGCGCTTCCCGGGAGCCCTGGACGTGGTGGGGCCGGGGTCCCCAGATCTGGGGGGTCTGGGGTGATTCGGGGCTGGGGTCCCCAAATCTGGGGGGGATCTGGGGTGATTCGGGGGCCGGGGTCCCCAGATCTGGGGGGTCTGGGGTGATTTGGGGCTGGGGCACCCCACAATTTTGGGGTGGAATCCAGAGGATTTTGGGGGGACCTTGAGGTTTTTGGGGTGGGGTTCCCAGGGGTACTTTGGGGGGGATCCCGGGGTTTTTGGGGTGGAATCCAGAGGATTTGGGTGGGGGGGATCCCAGGGTTTTTGGGGGTGGGGTTCCCAGGGAGGATTTTGGGGGGGATCCCGGGGTTTTTGGGGTGGAATCCAGAGGATCTGGGGAGGGGATCCCGGGGTTTTTGGGGTGGGGTTCCCAGGGAGGATTTTAGGGGGGATCCCGGGGTTTTTGGGGTGGGGTCCCAGGGGGATTTTGGGGTCTCTCAGCTGCCCCCCACCCCCCAGAGCGGCCAGGGCACCCCGGAGGTGACGGGATGGTTTGAGGTGACCGTGGGGGGACGCCTGGTCCACTCCAAAAAGGTGGGTGCCCCTGCCCCCACCCCCATTCTGGGGTCCCCGTCCCCATCTTGGGGTCCCCGTCCCCATTTTGGGGTCCCCGTCCCCATTTTCGGGGTGTCCCCCCCCAGAACGGCGATGGCTTCGTGGACAGCGACCCCAAACTGCTCAAGATCGTGGCCGCCATTGAGTCCTGCCTGGCCTAGGCCCCGCTAGGGGGGCTCCGTCGCGACATGTCGCGATATAGCGCGAGATAGCAGCAGATGTCACGATATATCGGGAGGTATCGGGAAATATCAGTGAATATCGTGATATAGTGCAGATATCAGCGGATATATCGCGATATATTGGGAAATGCCCATGAATATCGCGATATAGTGCTGGATATCGGCGGATATATCAGGAAATATCGGGAGATAGCAAAAGATATCACCAGATATTGTGATATATCAGGAGATACTTGGAGCTATCAGGAGATATCGCTGGATATCACGATATAGCAGGAGATATCGCTGGATATCATGATATATTGGGAGATATCTGGAGATATCAGGAGATATCACGATATATTGGGAGATATCAGGAGATATCGCTGGATATCATGATATATTGGGAGATATCTGGAGATATCAGGACATATCGTCAGATACTGCGATATATCATGAGATATCAGGAGATATCACTGGATATCACGATATATCAGGAGATAATATCACGATATATCAGGAGATAATATCACGATGTATCAGGAGATAATATCACGATATAGCAGGAGATAATATCACGATATATCGCGAGACATCGCCGGATCCCCGTTGCTATCGGGACATGTCGCGACAGCGCTGCCCCCCCAGCCCCGCCCCCCCGCGCTCCATGACGGGAATCGCCGAAACGCCGCCGGCACCGGGTGCTGCCCTGACCCCGCACGGGGGGACACCGGGGCTGGGGGGGCAGAGCCCACCCTGAGCCCACCCTAAACCCTTCAAATCCCACCCCAAACCCTCTGAGCCCACCCTGATCCCACCCCAAACCCTCTGAGCCCACCCTGAGCCCACCCAAACCCTCTGAGCCCACCCTAAACCCACCCCAAACCCTCTGAGCCCACCCTAAACCCACCCTAAACCCTCTGAGCCCACCCTAAACCCACCCCAAACCCTCTGAGCCCACCCTAAATCCTTCAAATCTCACCCAAAATCCCTCAGATCCCACCCAAAATCCTACCCTAAATCCTTAAATCCCACCCTAAACCCTTCAAATCCCACCCTAAACCCTCTGAGCCCACCCTAAATCCCACCCCAAAGCCTCTGAGCCCACCCTAAATCCTTCAAATCCCACCCAAAATCCCTCAAATCCCACCCAAAATCCCTCAGATCCCACCCAAAATCCTACCCTAAATCCTTAAATCCCACCCTAAACCCTTCAAATCCCACCCTAAACCCTCTGAGCTCACCCTAATCCTTCAAATCCCACCCAAAATCCCTTCAAATCCCACCCCAAACCCTCCGAGCCCACCCAAAATCCTCAAATTTCACCCCCAGGTCCTTCATTCCACTCTAAACCCTCAGATCCCACCCAAAATCCTTCAAATCCCACCCAAAATCCCGAAAATCCCACCCAAAATCCCGAAAATCCCACCCTAAATCCTCAAATTTCACCCAAAACCCCTCAAATTTCACCCCAAATCCCTCAGACCCCCCCATAATTATTTCAATCCACCTCAAGTCCTTCCTATCCCACCCCAAAATCTTTTTCCTCCCCCTCCCAAAAATCCCCTTTTTAGCCCCAAATCCTTCCCCTGGCTCTGGATCCTCCTCCTTTCCTTGAGCTGCCTTCGCCGACGCCGTTTTGAGCCAAATTTGGCTTTTTTTTGGGATTTTCCTCCTACGGAACACTCCCCGACAGGCTGAAAAATGGGAAAGAACTCTTTTTAAACCACTGAAAATACCCAATTATTTGAGTATTCCCTCATTTATTTGTTCTTCACCCTCAACTTTGTGGCCTTTTGGGAATAAACATCAGAAATTTGAGCCAGATTTGGGTGGATTTTGGTCTGGTTTTGGTTTTAAGTGGTTTTAGGGGAAAATGAAGCTGAGGGAGGAGGGATGGGGGCTGTGCCCTTCCAAATTCCGGTTTTTTGCTTAATCCTAAAAAACCAGAATCGTAGTATTGTGAAATTATTCATTTTGGGAATAAAAGGATGGATTTAGTTGGGATTTTGGGGTTGTTTCAGGGCTTTTTTGGGATCAACACACTTTGAGTTCTTCAAAGTTTCATCCACTTACTTAATCCTAAAACAAAAGTAATGAAGTCATGGAACTGCTCCTCTTGGGAATAAAAAAACGGAAAACCGAGAAGGTTTTGGTTGGTTTTGTGGATTTTGGGGGTTTTTTTTGGTTGGTTTTGTGGGGGGTTTTTGGTTTTTTTTTCATTGGTTTTGTCGGGTTTTTTTTGTGGGATCCTACCAGGTGTTTTCATGGGAATAGAGAACAATAATGCCTCACTCTGAGCTCTTCCAAACTCCATTCTCTTTCTTAAATCCCAATACATCCCAGAGTTGGGAAATTATGGGAATTATGTTAATTACTGGAATTATGGAATTTATGGAATATTTGGAGGTGGAAAAACCTCCCGGATCCCCTCAGGCCCTCACAGCGCCCAAGATGGCGGCACGGCCTCGCTCCGAGCTCTTCCAAGCCCCATGCTCCGGCCTAAACACCCCAAAACCGAACATCCCAGAGTTGGAAAATTTACGAGAATTACGGGAATTACAGAATTATGGAATTTTGAGGCAGAAAAAGCCCCCGGATCCCCTCAGGCCCTCACGGCGCCCAAGATGGCGGCGCGGCCTCACCTCAGCCGACCCCCCCCGTTCCCGCCCCGCCGCGCGCGGGGCACGACGGGAACCGCCCTCAGCCGGGACCCGCCATTTTCTGCCGGGAAAGGCGGGAAGGGGGAGATCGAAGCCGCCGCAGCTGCACCGCGGGACCCGCACGGCTCCAGCGCCGCCGCCAGCGCCGCTCGCAGGTACCGGGAGCGCGGCGGCGGTCGGGGGTCGGTACCGGGGAGGGGTGGGGGGGAAGCACCGGGAAGGCTCCGGTACCGGGGGGAGGGTTGGGGGGGGGGGCCGGGGTCGCCTGAGGAGACGCTGCTCCTTAGTCCCGCCTTCCGTGCGGTGCCGCGCGCTGATTGGCCAGAAGGCAGCGACGTGATTGGCTGCGAGGCACGTCTATCAAAGGCAGGGCGCGTGAGCGCCGCCACCCCGGCGAATCAGCGGGGGGTTCGCGGAGGCTTCTGGGTGTTGCAGTTCGCGGCTGCGCCGGCGTCGCGCTCAACCAATCAGGCGCTGGGTTGCTATCACGTGAGCCTGCGCGGGGCGCTGCTGGGAGTTGTAGTCGCGTAGGCCGCGCGCGGCCCTCTCTCCCGGTTTTTCCCCGTTTTTCCCGTTTTTTTTCCCCCCGTTTCTCTCCCCGCCGCTCCCGGCGCGCTCAGGCTGTGACGGCCCGGGATGGCCCGCACCAAGCAGACGGCTCGGAAATCCACCGGCGGCAAAGCGCCGCGCAAGCAGCTGGCCACCAAGGCGGCCCGGAAGAGCGCGCCGTCCACGGGGGGCGTCAAGAAACCGCATCGCTACCGGTAACTGGGGAAACTGGGGGGACTGGGAGGGACTGAGGGGGACACTGGGGATTCTGGGGACACTGGGAGGGACTGGGGGACATTGGAGACACTGGGGGGGGACCGGGGAGATACTGGGTGGACTGGGAGGGACTGGGGACACTGGGACAGGGAGGTGACACAGGTGGGTCACAGTGGTGCGGGTGGGTGACAGTGACACAGGTGGGACACAGGGCCCCAGAGGTGTCACAGGTGAGCGTGGGGTGCCCCGTCAGCGTCCCCAATGTCCCCCGTGCGTGTCCCCAGCCCCGGGACGGTGGCGCTGCGCGAGATCCGGCGCTACCAGAAATCCACGGAGCTGCTGATCCGGAAGCTTCCGTTCCAGCGGCTGGTGCGGGAGATCGCGCAGGACTTCAAAACCGACCTGCGCTTCCAGAGCGCGGCCATCGGGGCGCTGCAGGTGAGGGACACACCTGGGACAGGTGAGGGACACACCTGGGGACAGCTGGGACAGGTGAGGGACACACGTGGGGACAGCCAGGTACAGCTGGGACACACCTGGGCACACCTGGGTACCAACAGTGACAGCCCAAACTGGGACAGTGACAACCCAAAACCGACCTGCGCTTCCAGAGCGCCGCCATTGGTGTCACCTGTGTCATCTGTGGCTGTCACACCTGTGTCACCCCTGTGTCCCCAGGAGGCCAGCGAGGCGTACCTGGTGGGGCTCTTCGAGGACACAGGGATACAGGGGTGGCACAGACGGACACAGGGGTGGCACAGACGGACAGGTGACCCCGTGGCTGTCACACCTGTGTCCCTTACCTGTCCCCAGGAGGCCAGTGAGGCGTACCTGGTGGGGCTCTTCGAGGACACAGGGACACAGGGGTGGGACACAGGGACACAGGGGTGGGACAGAGGGACACAGGGGTGGCACAGGTGACCCCATGGCTGTCCCCCCTGTCCCCAGGAGGCCAGCGAGGCGTACCTGGTGGGGCTCTTTGAGGACACCAACCTGTGCGCCATCCACGCCAAGCGTGTCACCATCATGCCCAAGGACATCCAGCTGGCGCGGCGCATCCGCGGCGAGCGCGCCTGACACAGCCCGGGGGCCAGGAGCTCCGGCAGCCCCGAAGCCGCGACCCCAGGGCCGATCCTGGGGCTGACCCTGGGGCTGACCCTGGGCCGATCCTGGGGCCGATCCTGGGGTTGATCCCGGGACCGATCCTGGGGCCGATCCTGGGGCTGATCCTGGGGCTGATCTGGGGCCGATCCTGGGGCTGACCCTGGGGCCGATCCTGGGGCTGATCTGGGGCCGATCCTGGGCCGATCCTGGGGCTGATCTGGGGCCGATCCTGGGGCTGACCCTGGGCCGATCCTGGGGCCGATCCTGGGGCTGATCCTGGGGCTGATCCTGGGGCCGATCCTGGGGCCAATCCCGGGGCTGACCCTGGGGCGATCCTGGGGCCGATCCTGGGGCTGATCCTGGGGCTGACCCTGGGGCCAACCCTGGGGCTGATCCTGGGGCCGATCCTGGGGCCAATCCCGGGGCTGACCCTGGGGCGATCCTGGGGCCGATCCTGGGGCTGATCCTGGGGCCGATCCTGGGGCCGATCCTGGGGCTGACCCTGGGCCGATCCTGGGGCTGATCCTGGGGCTGACCCTGGGGCCGATCCTGGGGCCGATCCTGGGGCCGATCCTGGGGCCGATCCTGGGGCTGACCCTGGGGCCGATCCTGGGGCCGATCCTGGGGCCGATCCTGGGCTGATCCTGGGGCTGACCCTGGGCCGATCCTGGGGCTGACCCTGGGGCGATCCTGGGCTGACCCTGGGGCTGACCCTGGGCCGATCCTGGGGCCGATCCTGGGGCTGATCTGGGCCGATCCTGGGGCTGATCTGGGGCCGATCCTGGGGCCGATCCTGGGGCTGACCCTGGGGCGATCCTGGGGCCGATCCTGGGGCCGATCCTGGGGCTGATCTGGGGCTGATCTGGGGCCGATCCTGGGGCTGACCCTGGGCCAATCCTGGGGTTGATCCTGGGGCCGATCCTGGGGCCGATCCTGGGGCTGATCTGGGGCCGATCCTGGGGCCGATTCCTCTGTTTTTTGTACAATTGGGGGCTCCACGTTTTTCTACGTACGGGTTTGGGGGGGAGTGGGAGTTGTTGGGGGAAAAGAGGAATTTTTTGGGGGGGGAAATGGGGATTTTTTGGGGGGAAAAACGGGAATTTTTTGGGGGGGAAAACAGGAATTTTTTTGGGCGAAAATGGGATTTTTTGGGGGGAAAAACGGGAATTTTTTGGGGGGAAAACCAGGAATTTTGGGGGGGGAAATGGGAATATTTTCGGGAGAAAATGCGAATTTTTGGGGGGGAAAATGGGATTTTGTTTGGAGAGGAAAATGGGAAATTTTGGCAGAAAATGGGAATTTTGGGCGAGAAAACCAAGAATTTCTTTTGGGGGGGAATGGGATTTTTTTGGGGGGAAAAAACGAGAATTTTTTGGGGGAAAGATGGGAATTTTGGGGGGCGGGGAGAGGTCACTGCTGCCCTGTTGGAATAAAGAGAAAATCCCATGGAAAATTCTGGATTTCCTTTGGAATTCCTCAAATCTTCGCCTTTCACCCCAAAATCCCGGGAGGGAGGGGGACGACACCCCTGTGTCCCCAAGGTGCCACCACAGCCCTGAGGGTGTCCCCAAGGTGCCACCGGGGCTCTGAGGGTGTCCCCAAAGCTCTGGGGGTGTCCCCAAAGTGTCCCCAAGGTGCCACCGTGGCTCTGAGGGTGTCCCCAAGGTGTCCCCAAGGTGCCACCCCCCCGTCCAGGTGTCCCCAAAGGTCTGGGGGTGTCCCCAAGGTGCCACCAGGGCTCTGAGGGTGTCCCCAAGGTGCCACCACAGCCCTGGGGGTGTCCCCAAAGGTCTGGGGGTGTCCCCAAGGTGCCACCAGGGCTCTGGGGGTGTCCCCAAGGTGCTACCAGGGGTCTGAGGGTGTCTCCAAAGTGTCCCTAAGGTGCTACCGGGGCTCTGGGGGTGTCCCCGAGGTGCCACCCCCCGTCCAGGTGTCCCCAAGGTGTCCCCAAAGTGTCCCTAAGGTGCCACCCCCCGTCCAGGTGTCCCAAGGTCGCCGTTGTCCCCTCGCCGCTGCCGCGCCCGGGGCAGAGTCCGGGCCGGGCGGTGCCACCTGCGCCAGGTGTGGCACCAAAGGTCCCGGGTGTCCCCAGCCCCCCCCGTGCCCCTTATCTGTCCCTTATCAGGGTCCGGCCTGGGAGGGGCCGGAACTGGGGAGGGGCCCCGGGGCTATAAAGGGACCCTGGTGGCCCCTTGGGCACCTCTTTGTCACCTTTGTCACCTTTGTCACCTCCTTGTCACCGCTGTCACTGCTGCCGCCATGGCGTTCGTGCCCCCACCCGGGTACCTGCCCTCCTACAACCCGGTGGGTACCCCCGGAGGGGCTGGGGGCGCCCCCAAAATGGGGGGGGGGGGTCTATGGGGCATTTTGGGGTCCTTGGGAGGGACAATTTGGGGTCCCCGCCACCCTCCCAGTGACATCCGGGGGCCCTGTCACCCCCAAAATGGAGGGAGGGGTTTGGGGGGGTCTGGGACATTTTGGGGTCCCCGTCACCCCCAAAATGGAGGGAGGGCGTTTGGGGGGGTCTCTGGGACATTTTGGGGTCCCCGTCACCCCCAAAAACGGGGGGAAGGGGCTGGGGGCGGTCTCTGGGAGATTTGGGGTCATTGTCACTCCAGGAGGGACATTTGGGGACCTTGACACCCCAAAAACCGGGGGGGAAGGGCCTGGGGTGGGGGGGGGGGTCCCTGTCACCCCAAAAAATGGGGGGGAAGCGTCTGGGGGGGGGTCCCTGTCACCCCCCAGTGCCATTTTGGGGTCCCTTTCCCCCCTTGGTGCCATTTTGGGGTCTCTGTGTCCCCGTTGGTGACATTGGGGTCCCTGTCCCCCCCCCGGTGCCATTTTGGGGTCCCTGTCCCCCCCCCGGTCGCCATTTTGGGGTCCCTGTCCCCCCCTTGGTGCCATTTTGGGGTCCCTGTCACCCCCCAGTGCCATTTTGGGGTCTCTGTGCCCCGTTGGTGACATTGGGGTCCCTGTCCCCCCCTTGGTGCCATTTTTGGGTCTCTGTGCCCCCGTTGGTGACATTGGGGTCCCTGTCCCCCCCCCAGTGCCATTTTGGGGTCCCTGTCCCCCCTTGGTGCCATTTTGGGGTTCCCCTGACCCTCCCAGTGCCATTTTGGGGTCCCTGTCCCCCCATTGGTGACACTGGGGTCCCTTTCCCCCCCTTGGTGCCATTTTGGGGTCCCCTGTGCCCCCCCGGTGCATTTTGGGGTCCCCTGACGCCCCCGTTTGTCCCCCAGCCCCTGCCCTACGTGGCCCCCGTGCCCGGGGGGCTCTGGCCCGGCATGGCCGTGTACGTGCAGGGGGTGGTGACCCCCCAGGCCGAATGGTAATGATGGGGTCAGCTGGGGTCCATGGGATCAACTGGGATCCACTGGGATCAACTGGGAGGGACTGGGATAAACTGGGATCCACTGGGAGGGACTGGGGGGGACTGGGAGGGAACTGGGATCCACTGGGAGGGACTGGGATCCACTGGGATAAACTGGGATCCACTGGGATCAACTGGGAGGGACTGGGAGGGACTGGGGGCACTGGGAGGGACTGGGATCAACTGGGATCAACTGGGAGGGACTGGGATAAACTGGGAGGGACTGGGGGGCACTGGGAGGGGATTGGGGGAATTGGGGACATTGGGGGGCACTGGGAGGCACTGGGGACACTGGGGGGACACCTGAACCTGGCTGGGGTGGGGGTCCTGGGGGCACATTGGGTGACCCTGAGGTGACACTGGGTGACACTGGGTGACAATGGGTGTCCCAGCTGTCCCCAGGTTCTGCGTGAACCTGGCTGGGGTGGGGGTCCCGGGGGCACATTGGGTGACACTGGGTGACACTGGGTGACACTGGATGACACTGGGTGACACTCAGGTGACACTGGGGGACACTGGGTGACACTGGGTGACACTCAGGTGACACTGAGGTGCCCCAGGTGACACCGGGTGCCCCAGGTGACCCTGGAATGTCCCCAGGTTCCGCATTAACCTGGCTGGGGTGGGGGTCCCGGGGGGACACTGGGTGACACTGGGTGACACTCAGGTGACACTCAGGTGACACTGGGTGACCCTGAGGTGTCCCGGCTGTCCCAGGTTCCGCGTGAACCTGGCTGGGGTGGGGTCCCGGGGGCACATTGGGTGACACTGGGTGACACTGGATGACACTGGGTGACACTGGGTGACACTGAGGTGACAATGGGTGACACTGGGTGACACTGGGTGACACTGGGTGACACTCAGGTGACACTGGGGGACACTGGGTGACACTGAGGTGACACTGGGTGACAATGGGTGACACTGGGTGACACTGGGTGACACTCAGGTGACACTGGGTGACACTGGGTGACAATGAGGTGACACTGGGTGCCCCAGGTGACCCTGATGTGTCCCTGCTGTCCCAGGTTCCGCGTGAACCTGGCTGGGGTGGGGGTCCCAGGGGGACACTGGGTGACACTGGGGGACACTCGGGTGACACTCAGGTGACACTGGGTGACACTCAGGTGACACTGGGTGCCCCCGGTGACCCTGGAATGTCCCCAGGTTCCGCGTGAACCTGGCTGCGGGCCCGCAGGAGGAGGCGGACGTGGCCCTGCACGTCAATCCCCGCTTCGGGGCCGGGCTCGCGGTGCTCAACAGCCGCCGGGGGGGGCACTGGGGGGACGAGCGGCGCCGGGAGCTGCAGCCGCTGTGCCAGGGGGGAGCCTTCGAGATGGTGATCAGCGTCACCCCCGAGGGGTACCGGGTATGACAGAGGGGATTTGGGATCATTGAGGGGGGATTTGGGATCATGGAGGGGTTTGGGAGCCTTCGAGATGGTGATCAGCGTCACCCCGGAGGGGTACCGGGTATGACAGAGGGGATTTAGGGCTTTAGGGGATTGGGGAGCCTTCGAGATGGTGATCAGCGTCACCCCGGAGGGGTACAGGGTATGGACAAGGGGATTTGGGGGCTTTGGGGGGTTTGGAATCATTGAGGGGTTTGGGAGCCTTCGAGATGGTGATCAGCGTCACCCCGGAGGGGTACCGGGTATGGACAAGGGGATTTGGGATCATTGAGGGT